CGCGTTCGAAGGAAAATGCAACCTACGCAAGTAACACTCGCGGACGGCCGCACGCAAAAGTCAATCGACCGATGCGTCGACGGCGTTCCGATATACTTTGCGCCACTTGCGTGCGAGCCGGTGTCTTTCGACATCCTCGACACCAAGTTCGACATGATTCTGGGCATGTCTTGGTTGCGTAGCGCCGATGATCCGGTGAACTTTCATGACCGAACCGTTCACATTCGTGATGGGAACGGAATGTTAGTCTCATGTACGGTCGCGACCTCTCACACTTCGATTGCTTGTCACGTGGTTTCAGTTGCGAGAATTCGCGACGGCATAGCTCGAAATGACGTCGAGGAGATGGGCCTTGTATTCTTGCATGCTCTCCCCTCACCGGACGGACCAGCCACGTCACCGCCGGACCCACGCATTTCTCACCTCTTGGACGGGTATGGAGACGTCTTCGAGGCTCCCACCGGAACGGTTTCGGATCGGCCCATACGCAGCGTCCTCATCTACCTCGATGACATCTTGGTTTATAGTACGACATTGGACGAGCACATCGTACACCTTCGCGCTGTTCTAGATCGTTTGCGACTGACCAAGTACAAAGTGAATCTCGACAAGTGCGAGTTCGCCAAGCAGGAGCTTGAGTACTTGGGTCACTATGTCACGCCGAAAGGCATTCGTCCCTTAGGACAAGATCCAAGCCATCGTGGATTGGCCGGAACCCCGTTGCATGACGGATGTACGCTCTTTCACGGTTTTGGCTCACTGATTCTACCGTGATAGTCTCTATGATCAACGATGCGAAAAACATGCTGCGCACTTGACGTGCGTAACGTATCAAAGTCATTGGTTTATCATAGAGACGATTTCGGGCAAAAGAAATTCCCATGGTGTGACGGGCGGTGTGTACAAGGCCTGAGTACATATTCCTAAAGGACAAGCATGGATTCAATTTCATATACGTTACTATATGTTTGCCCTTGTATTTGTTGTTTTTGATGTAGAAACTGTCTTTTTGTATCCCTGGGCTGTAAGTTTATATTATCTAAACAAAGAAAAGCAGGCTGACCATAGCGATTTCGTATAGATCGAATTTTAGAATTATTCAATTTAATAATTCCATTTAATGGCGATCTGATTTGTTGAGCTATATCACCAGTAAAAACACCTCCAGTAGGATATTATCAGCGGTTCGCCGAATCATACTCGAAAGTGGCCGCTCCTTTGCAAGCTGCACCTGCCCTCCGTATATACGACCCCACCCTTCCCACCCAAGTGACTACGGACGCTTCGGGATACGGTATTGGTGCGGTGTTGGAACAGTGTCACGAGGACGGTCGACATCCGGTCGAGTATTTCTCCCAAAAGGTGTCTCTCGTCAACACTCTCGACGACATTAGGAAGAAAGAGCTACTCGCGTTTGTCACCGTTCTCAAAAGGTGGCGCCACTTTCTTCTCGGCCGTCGGCGTTTTAAATGGAATACGAACAACAATCCGTTGACCTTTTATAAAACGCAAGATACGGTCACTAGCACGATCGGTCGATGGATGTATTACATCGACCAGTTCGACTTTGACGCGTGCCACATTCCCGGTCCCGCCCATCGAGCTGCGGACGCCCTCTCACGACGGCCCAACTTTTGTGTCATTGTGACTTCGGCATTCGACCTCGATGATGATCTGCAACCGCATTTCGTCACAGGCTACAAGTCCAAACCGACTTGCTCTACGCGGAGCTTTCACCGGATCACCCACCGGCTAGCCATTATCGGATTTTCGACGGGTTCCTTCTCCTTACACAAGAGGAAAGGACTTGTTAGTTGTACCCCAAGATCGCATCTTACGGACTCGTCTTCTCGACGAATTCCACGACGCACGACTTTCGACACACCTTGGCGTAAACCACACATTAGCACGCCTCCGCCAGCGTTTTCACTAGCCCAACGTCCTTCACGACGTCACGGGGGAGTCATGTGCAGTTTGCCACCGTGACAAGGGTCGATCTCGAGTCCCCTTCGACGAACTGAAACCGTTGCCGATTCCTCGGGCACCGCGCCTCTCCATTGCTATGGACGTGCCAGGCCCGTTCACCTGCGACTGCCTCGGCCACGACGGTATTCTCACGGTTGTTGACCGTTTGAGCAAGTATGATCGCTTTCTTCCTTGCAAGTATCATGTTGCAGCACCTGAGCTTGCATGACTCTTTGCACACCGGTTGGATTACCGACCAGGGTGTTCCGGAAGACATAGTGAGCGACCGAGATACTCGCTTCATGTCGGTCTTTTGGACTTCCCTTATGGCCGAGTCCGGTGCGACAATGAAGCCGAGCTCGGCTCGACACCTGCAGACGGAACGCCAGACGAGCGAGCACACCAGACCCGCTCAGATGATGTTGCGTACGCTCATCCGTCCCGACCATAAAGATTGGGTTGACCGGCTTTTCGACATTGAGTTCACCTATTCGGTGCACCCGGGATCTGCGTCACACCATTCGAGCTACATCATGGTGGAGAGAAAGCACGGATCTTCGCTGATCTCCTTCTGCCACAGGCCGCTGACATAGACGTCCCTTGCTCTCCCGCTTCCGTTCGGAGGTACCGGGACTTGCTGATCAAAGCCCGCGCAAATATGCAAAAGGCTCAAATCCGCATGCAACAGCAAGCTAACCGTCGTCGACTTCCATGTCCTTTCCGCGAGGGAGATCTTGTTTGGGTCCTCTCCGAGAAATTTGCGCTCGCGCAGGATGTTTCGCGCAAACTCCTTCCGAATGGTTCGGACCATGGAAAGTTACTTCTGCCGTTGGAGACGACCCCGCAGGTCCTTCCTTTGTGATCAACATTCCACCGCACCTTCCAGTGCACCGGGTCTTCCACGCGTCGAAGCTGGCCATCTACACGCCACCTTCCGCTGACGAGTTTCCCGACCGTCGATCACAGGATCCGCCTTCTATGGACGGACATCAGGAAGTCGACTGAGTCATCACGCACCGCAAGTATGGCAACAAGCCAATGCAGTTCAAAGTCACATTCAAACAATGTGCGCCTGACGATACTCGGTGGATCTCTAGTGCAGACTTGCAAACTTCTGCACCCCTTATCTTCGCCGACTATGAGAAGCGACGCCTTGCCAAGGAAGCAGCTCGTCCCGCCCGACCCATCCCGGTATCGGACAGACAACTCCGCCCTCGCAGGTAGCTCGGTCTTTAAAGAGGGGGAGTGTGTTACATCTTCGACGCCACACGGGTCCTACCGGACCCGACTTAGGGCCAGAGGGACACAGTAGGGCCTTCAGGCCGCGGACTTGGGATAAAACGTAAAGGCCATGTTTTTGGACCAGACCTGACGGGTGGTCCCAAACGACATTACCGTTTGGGCCTGGCGGCGCTCTTGAGGCTGCCGCCCGTCGGTCTGATCTGAACCGACGATCTCGAGCCTCGTTTCACCGGTACTAAAGACCGGTCCAGCCTCATTCTGAGGCATCAA